ATGTCGAGAAGGCTTGTTGGAAATGTCAAAAAGGTCAGACCTGGTTAGGAGGGAAGAAGACTAGCAGTACAATTTCTGTGTGCAGTGGCAGTTCTGTGATGGCATTGGGGGCAGATGGAAAAATATCTTCCTAACAACATTTGGAGGCTAATTTAAATATTTATGGCAATAAAATAAAATAAATTAACATTTAATTTAAACGCCTTTTTCAGTCACACTCCTGTCACTCTTGTGACACACTCCAGCCCAACAGGTGGCAATGGAGCACCTAAATGTATCTTAATTTTTCACAAGATACGTTGAGTGAATCAGCGTTTGAACGAAATAATTTGTGTTGTTTGAGTTAAACTGTAACTTGTCTATTCGTGGATTCAACTTTCCACAAAATAAATTTCAATTTCAGGTTGCTTATTGTGGCAAAAATTCCAATGTAATTGTTAAAAGTGTGACTGTTTGCGCATTAAAACGCCTCCAAAAACCCAATTACTTTTAAAATCACAAGACCTTATTTTACTAGTTCAAGGTTCAGTTTTATTTTAAGTCCTATTGAGTGAACAAAACAGACAAAGAAAAGCTGTTCATTTGTGATACCATCTGAAGCCTGTAGTCTTAGAAAAGATGGAACTGAAAGACGAAGCTGATGGAAGACATTTGACAGGTTGACGAGGACAGATAAACGCATAAAAACCTCACATAAAGTGAAGGAAGCAAACGACAAACGAATATAAAGCTGACTTACTTTAACAGATAAGGTGCCCTCGTCCAAACACTCCACTAACAAGCTCAACAAAATCGGCCGTGTGACGTTGTACGTATGTGTATTAAATGTACACACGTGTTCTGATTAATCCACTTAGTATTTTAACGGAAATTGACCAAAATGTACAGCGATTCAAGACTGTCCTCATTCTTCAACTTTCAAGCAGTGACATCTAGTGGCTATAATGCTTTATTACAAGGGGTTTTTTCCCCCTAAATTTCACACTGATAATTAGTCAGCAGGCATCAGCTGACTTTATTTTCTCTCACTAGATTATAGAAGGAAATGTTACGAGAAGAACATAAAAAATATACCAAAATTTCGGAATGGTATATTTGACGTCACACAAATAGCTACCAATTAGCCAAGGTAGGAGAGGGTTAGCTGAGAGAATTGTTTGTCTCAAGAAAGGTTAATAGGTGGAAGTAGCAAAAAACAGTTAATCTAAAAATAAAAATAAAACACCAGCTAATACCATCCATTTTCATCCGCTTATCCGTTACCGGTTCACTGCACCGTACCAACCCCCAACCCCAGGACATTCCTGCGGGTGGTGAGCCAACATTACTGTAGCGATTTTTTTTAAAAGGGTAAGAAAAGTTAAAAATAAAAGTTGAAGTAAAATAAAACATTTCTATATGAGGCTGTACATATATTTGAATGTGTATGTATGTGTGATAAAGCTACATTTTTGTTCGTTATGAGGAGACATTGTTCTAAGCGAAAGAGTATAGATGTAACTACTCCAAAACAGACTAATACACGTTTCTGCAATGTGAGTGATATCACTGTGGTATTTGTCTGGACTTGAGCTTCAGTGGAAAGTGGAGTGTGAGATAAATATAACAGTGCCTTTTAATGATGTCCTGTCTGGAATCCCCCCCACCCCCACCCCCCGTCTAGCGGCCGCACACTATTTTTCTCGGGTTGTACATAAATATAACAACTACTGCATGTAATGTGGGGATGATGGGATGAGTGGAAAGAGAAAAGTCCAGAAGAAAAGTGTTACAAAGGTTTGGAAATCCCAGAAGTTCCTCAAGGTCAGCAGTTGTTTATGAGAAGCAGGAAACGATGATCGACTGCATACAGCTGACATCACGTTTCGTCATCGGAAGTTGCCAGATCTGGTTTTATTAGCTACTCTGTTATACTGCAAATATCTTTCAAAAATATTAACACACCGATAATGTTTTGAAGACACGGTCAGAGTTTATATCTGAACTTGGAATACTGCTGTAAGTTTTTTCTATTTTCAAAGGCTTTTTGTCTTATTAAGTGTCCAAAATCGCCTAGAAATGGAAGTTTATGGCCATGAGATCGTGTTACTGTGTTCAACTTGTGCAATAACTAACTTTAAAAACGAAGTTTTTATTATTTTATTAAAAAATAAAGTTGGTGTGACCATAAAGAACAACATCGATGGAAAAATCGATTAAAAACAACTATGTGAATACTATATCACAGTAGAACACTAAACCATGTATTTTATATTAGTAATAATTAGGAGACTGCGGTGTTTGTTTTGGTCAGTCGCCACATGGGTTGAGTCATTTTGGCTGCTTGTTTTCTCTCGCGAGATTTGGCAACACCGCCGCTTGCGACAGGGGAGGTCGATGACAAAAGGAGATGACGAGAAGACAGAGAGAACAGTGGAAGGAGCGCAGATGAAGATACAGACCTCTGTGGCAAACTTCTACATCGCCCGAGACCAAAGAACCTTAACATTACCTCCTTTCGTCGACAGTTTTGGTTTGAAATCGCTTCAGGCAAAGAACCGACGTATCGAGAACCACATGTGGAAGCCAAGTCTGTGGTAGGTATTCGAGACGATGTCAAGACGTTTTAGTGGGGGGGGAAAGGTAAAACAAGGTTTTTGTTCTTTCTCTGTCACTTTCTTCCAGAGTTTTCTCTTTACTGTAAACACTTTACGGTAAACACTTTCTCCTCTGTTCATGTCGTTTTCCCCCTAGTCTCTTACCACTAACACGTGTTTTCACTTTGCTAAAATGTTGTTTAACATCCAAAGAGGTTTTCAATCCCAGGTTTTTGTTCTTTATTTACTTTAAGAGGTCAACATTGTAATTGGTTTGATTTAAGAACATTAGCTCATCCATCGTGGCAACAATAAAAGTAACTTAATAAAAACAGACAAAAGTGGCAAAAGTTCTAGGTCCTACAAGTCAACCGTTTGACACATGAATGAAATGAAGACAAGTCTGGCAACTGGAGCTGCATATTATTAATAATCTCACGATTCTATTATATTCGATAGATTATAAATGACCAAATAACCCTTCAACAATTGATGTGGCACTACTGGTCCATGTCACTGGACAACTAGTCCATGTTACAAATACAGTTGGGGAGTTCTGCAGTAAAGCATCTAGAAAACATTACACTACCAACTCTGTCTGGTTTCAGGGACTATTTTTGCCTCTCCTTCTAATCTTCTGAATCGTTCTTATGGAGCCCTTCCTGGGGCTGGGAGTATTGGCTATGCGTCATAGACCGTAAAAATTTCCCTAATTATTTAGAAGTGTTGAGAAATGTGAATACAAAAGCCTAAATGTCAGGAATGTCAACACTTCCTTCTCTGACTGTCATGAAAAGAGAATTCACTAAGTCTTTTTTTTTTTTTTTTTTTTTGCCCTGCAGCGCCATCCTCATCTTGACTGGAGTCCTGATGTCAGCCTTCCTGAAGTGGTACCTAATTGGAGCAGCCGTGGGGTTTTTCACTGTTCTTTTCAGAGTTGTGAACTCTGTCGGCGGTCAGATGTACATCCAAAACCAACAGTACTACACACTGAGCCATCAGACAAACAGAGAACTTCTATCACAAAACCAGCCCAGACGATCTCGCGTGACCAGAGGATTCGGTTCATAACGGAGAGGATTTCTGTCTCTTGGGGAAATGTCTGCTGAGCGGACATGTTGGACGCTGGTACTATTGATCGAGGAGCATTTTGTTCTGAATCAATGTTTGTAAATTGTTGAACATGTTGTGCACTGTGTTTGTTTGTGTGACTCCTTTTTGCGTCGTCAGCTCTAATGACCAACTTAAAACCACTACTGAACAACAATTTGCACTAAATGTGAAATGTTCCACTTGTGTTGTATGACAAAAATAAACTGAAATGAAGCGTTGAAATGATCACTGCAGTTTTTCCATGTAAAGGAGTCTCTTGCTCATGAACTACCCACGCTTCACATATTGAGTAACTGAGCAGCTGAACACAAACTAATGCATGTGTCAAAGGTTCATGTCTTCGAGGCTAATCAAAGACTTCGTGAACAAGTAAGAACTTGGTTACACAGCCTGCAGCGAAAGCTTAAGTCTGACTCTGCTTTAAAATGCCTCTGTTGGAAGCACACAGTAGTTCAGACACGTTATCATTATAATTGTTGGTACTAATTCCATAGCAATGAGTCTGTCAAACTACTAAGATAAAGACGAAACACAAAAAGACCAAGCAAGGTGAGTAGGTCTGGGCGAAGGTGATGGTCTGACATGGATGAAATAAGGAAAAATGTTTTCATTTAGTCAATGCCAGAAATAACGAATTAATGGCAGATAATTAGTTTAGGAGCTCAATATCTAACACCAAGTACAGTATCCTGTAATTAAAATGGGAATTTAATTTTAAAAGTGGTTCATGGGGTCATATACTATATGCTGTTACACCCCTGAAGCAACAAGCTAGCTTATGTATATACGTATATAAACCCTTAAGAATAGAGTAAGAATAAAAAATATTGTGGAGACAAGCCTAAAGTTTCACTGAAATTATGTCATTTAAATATATGGTGATGATACATTTATTGGTTAATTTGATTCTTTAGATTTTGCTGTATTTTTCCATGGTTATAGAGCCTTGTACTATATATATATATATAATATATGTGAAAATATATATGAAAAATTATAATACTGTAATATATATATATATATATATATTACAGTATTATAATTTTTCATTATAATCGATCTAATACATAAGTTAAATACTTAGAGAGAATATTGTTCTATACCTTTTTATTATTTTTTTTTTTAAACTTCAACTTGAACTGTTTTAATTTAATTGATAACCCTACATAAACTAATATGTATTATATATAGCTATAATAGTATGAATAAGAAAATTAATATGAAAAAAATATTTTTTTAACGTTTTTTTTGTGTTCGCCATTGTGTCAAATATGAAAGTTAATCAATGTAAACAAAAACCTATTCTTTGGNGTGTTGGTGGCCACCAGGTGCTCTTCCCTCAGGTCCCAGTCTGTCAGCGTCGTCCCAGCGGCTCAGGTCACTCCGATGCGGGCACAAACACCTGCTGGCAGAGGACGCACCTCGGTCAGCACTTTCGTATGTTAATGACCCGTGAAAACCGTTTCCACCAGCTTTACCTGACTGGAGCAGAAGTCAGTCAGAGTCTCCTCACATCTCACACAGTGACAGGAATCTTGTTTTGTCCCTCATCGGATATGGTCTGGACACTCCTGCTTCTCTTTTGCGGGCTGTCCGTGTGTCTTGCGTCGGACCGGACCGTGACATTCCACCGGACCAGGCGGGATGTGAACCAGAACCTGCGCCAGGAGCTCGCACGGAGCCGGAGGGAGAGCAGCGCTCCATCAGTGTCATCGTCATCATTCAGGCTTTCTCACGGTCCTCCTTTCACCTCCTGTCCACTCCCTCTCTCTCCAGCCGAACACAGAGTTCTGGACGACAACACACATGAGGTAACGCTGTGTGTGTATATATTTGTGTGTGTGGTTTGTCAAGAAAAGGCAGGTTCAATGTCCACAAAACGTCTATAGTCACTTAATGTTTTCAATCTTCCAGTCCTGGGTTTGAACTTATTTGTTCGGACTAATTCTAGAGGAATGATTTCCCAACATTCCCACCTGAAGAGTGATTTTCCAACATCAACATCCAACCATACATTTTAAGGCCCGTTACTATGGTTGTATGGCCACGTCCCCACTGGGTGAGAAGGTATTTAGTTTGGTCTTAGGTCAATGGTCAATTAGAATTTGAGTCCGATTAGCGCAGGGGTCACTTAACTTTTAGAAACTGAGAGCTACTTCAAGGCCACTTAGTAATTACAGAGAGCTACTTGTTTAATACAGACTTTCTGATCAATGAAATACTAACCATTTTTGACCCTCTAGTTTTATTTGTAGAACATAGCCTGCGGGCACCTTAGGTAGTCCATGGGGGCTACCAGGTGCCCCCGGGCACCACGTTGGTGACCCCTGGATTAGCGTTAGATTACAGATTAAGATTAGCTTTTTAACTAAATAAAAAAAAAAATAGCACGATTAGCATAATCCAGCGTTAGCAGAATTTTTTTTTTTTTTTAAATAGCGCAATTAGCATAATCCAGCGTTAGCAGAATTTTAACCAAAAAACTTTGAATAACAGTAAGGATGATCCAGAATAAGATGAAATGTTACAATAAATAGGAAAAGGACGGTTTTCTTTCATTCATTCTTTCAGGATTACAGGCCCAGTTCAACTGTCCAATGGCCCACAAAGGGCTAGGCATATTCCTGCTCACGTAAGAAAAAACAATGACGTGGCCCGTATTTTTAACAGTTAATTACAGGACATTTAGTGGCCCACACATGGTCTTCAATCCAACAGGAAGTAGTGAGAACCTTTGCTAACGGACCTGTCAACAAAGACTTCGCAGAAAGACAGCGGCGCAAAGAGAATCTTCTTCATTAAATCGTATTGGTTGATGCCGTTTTTCTCTGCTCTCGTTCCCCCAGACTGGGTTTAATGGTGACGACGGCTCCCATGTCATTCTCACCTGGGTGGGCGACGGAACCGGAGTGAGTATATTTGTACTGCTCAGAGAACTGCAAAGTACCTAGAACAGTTCACTGTTTGTGTGTTCTCCAGATTTAACGTTGATGAAATGTAGCTAACTTTTTCCAGGTGGTTCTGGTTCTGTCTACAATCAGCGCTCCTCTCGACACCTTCCTGGATGGAGGCTCCTCACGGCTCTACAGGAGGTGAGTTTGTGTATGAAAAGAAAACATCACAGCGGCAGCTCCGTCACATGCACGGGAAAGGAGAAATGGCTGGATTTCCTCTTTTCACAGCACGGATTATGGAAAATCTTTCCACGACATTTCCAGTCGGATCAACAACACTTTCATAAAGGAGGAGTTTGGAGTGAGCGTTGGTCCTGGGAGCTCAGTGAGTCGACATTTACTTCACCTTGGCCATGATGTAAAATGTCAGGGAAGTTCGTGTGTGTGTGTGTGTGAGAGATATTGTGTGTGTCACCTAAAATGGAGAAGTCTTGCCTTTGTTTTCCTTTGAACCAGGCTTGCCTAAGAGCAAATAAGGGGAAATATTGAGTTGTTGGTTTTGCAATGCATCATGGGAACATTTTAAAGTCAGATTTCTGTGATTTTCAAAACCTCTCTTTCGTCACTATTATGTTGCTAAACGATAGCTAACTGAACTAGCTACCACATCAGGTATTAGGATCACTAAAATTAGCCCGAAATTCTTGAAAGCCACATGAAAAGAGTTTGGCCAAAATTGCTTAAAGTTAAAAAAAACAGAAATTGTAATATTAGCTAAAAGTTGTGTCGAAAATATTCAGTCGTACTTAGTCGTAGTAAAGCAGGTTCACTTTCTGGTCAGCTTCGATGTTGACGATGTAATTGTTTATTTGAAGGTAATAAAATATTAACCTTTTTAAATTTTCTTTTTACAGGTGATACTGACTGCTGACGTGCCGGTGGTGGACAACCCAGGAGGAATTATCTTCGCCTCCACGGACGCAGGAGCAACCTTCAAGTTCACCCAGCTGCCCTTCCATTTGGTTCAGCCAATCACATACCACCCTGTCAACCACGACTACCTGGTGGCCCTCAGCATCGACGTGAGTCACACACACGGCTAAACACACACTCACCGCACATCAAACACACACCTCGGAGCAAAAGCAAACAGCACTCTGTTTCCTCCTCACACGCAGGGCAGTCTGTGGCTCTCTCTGGACTCCGGGGCCAAATGGACAAAAGTCCATGATGGAGTGCATTCTTTCTCATGGTGAGAACAAACAGGAAACTCAAAAGTCACATCACACTCACTCGCTGTTGCTGCACCTCTCTAGCTTATTTGCTAGAATATTGAAATACACAGCTGCAAGAGACATTTATAAATAAAACAAATCCTAAATTTTCAGAGTGTTTTTCTGTGGTGTACGCAGAGTCTAATTTTAAAAATGTACAACCAGGCTTCCTGGTTAGATGCCTCAGCTAAAGCAAGAATTCTGGGGAATTCCAAAGAATGTCCAAAACACAAGTTAAATGATAACTAAAACAGGAAACAGGAAATAGCAGAAACAAAAAGTGCTAAAGTTAAGAGAGGTAAATATTCTACTAAAGTTTTGCAAAAAGAAGCTCAAAGTACGGCACAAAAAAAATCTAGGAGTTGCCAAAACAATAGTAAATATAAACAAATATTACCACAGAAATATGATCAAGTTGGAATAAAAATACAAATAAAAAGCAACGACTAAGTTGTTTTTACACTAAGACTCAACCTGAAAGTGACAAACATTGGAGGTAAATATTGTGATAAATAGCAAACATTCTGGGCAATGGATAAATGTATTTATATATTTTATAATATATACTTAAAGTATATAATTGGGGAAACACAGTGTGTTTAAATGGTGTCAGTTTACACACCTCTCTGTCATGAAGGGTATGTGGTTTTTAATTTTTTTTTAATTTTAGCTGGTATGTCAAAAACAGATGTTCTGGACCCAAAGGTTAAAACTAAAGTTACCTCCCTGAACCACCCCCCCCCCCCCCCCGCCCCCCAAAAAAAGAAAAAAGAAAATTCAAATTGTTCAAAAATGGCTAAATGTTCATCAAGGAATGTCAAGAACATAAAAACAATGTGTAATAAATATTACAAGAATTGAATAAATTATTGAATTCTTCTTCTTTCCACTAGGGGAGCTGGTGTCAACTTGTTCTTCAGCTACAGTCGAGTAGACGCAGGTGAGAAGTGACCGAATCACGTCCAAATGATAACAACAAGTTTTTACCTTTCAGGTCATTCCTGGTGTAAAGTCTTTGTGTCTTTTCAGTGGATGCAGAAGAGAGAGGAGACCTGGTCCTGAAGACAACTAAAGACCTGGGAAGATCCTTCACCATCATCCACGAGGACATCTTCAGCTTCGGCTACATCGGAGCTTTTCTCTTCTTCTCTGTCATGGAAGATCCGGTAACAACAAAGTTAAATGACATTTTCAAGCGTCATTAACCATTTTTTAAAAAAATGTATTCTCATAAATGTATGGTTTGTTTGAACTCCCAGAGATCTCCTCGTGTCATGTACTTCTCCTCAGACCAAGGAGACACCTTCAGCCGAGCTCTGCTGCCTTCAGCCTCCACAGAGCAGGTGGGAGAATATTCACGTTTTTTTTCTGTGTGATTCTATGGAGATGCTTATGTTGAGAGAACATTTAGTTTTTACCCAAACACACATTTAAATGCCACATTATAGGGACTTTGGTTTGGTTTATAAATGAGGAACAGAAAGTGTTAACCTAATCTCACCGCTAACCCAGCTCTTCCACAAATATAACCATACCGGAAGACACAACACACACACACACACACACAACACACACAACACGTGTGTTACTGAACCTATACCATAGGTGATGAAGAGTAATTTAGTCGTTACTATGACGTGTGTTTTTTATCTATCTATAATCCCTGTGTGTGTGTGTGTGTGTGTGTGTGTAAATGTAGTTCTATTCTATCCTTGATGGAGATGAGGACATGCTCTTCATGCACGTGGACAACCCAGGAGGTAACAGCCTTCACACACACACACACGCTCACACACCTATGTGTCTCCAGGTTGATTCAAATCTCAAAGTAAGGGCTGATAAGAATCGGCAACATTCATTTTTGCAAAAATAGTTGAAAATGCGGTAGAGGGCGCTACAAGCACCATTAACATCCCAGCTCTTGAGGTACTTTCCATCTGTCCATTATCTACCACCTATCTCTTTGCGGGATCGTGTGTGTGTGAGGGGGGGGGGGGGGGGGGGGGGGGGTGCTACCTACATCCTCCGAACCGAGCATCTTCAACTTCAGACTCAACTCGACTCGACCAGAACTTGTTCTACGACTCAGTCTGTGACGTTAAACCACGTGGCCCGGTCGTAGACTCGACCCTAACCCAGTCTCCTCGTGACCTCGTATGAACTAAACCAAACGTCGCGTGTTAATCCCTTAATCTAATCTGCGTTTTCACCTTCAAATCCTCCTTAAAACTGTGACAAGAGCCCTTAAATTGAAGATCCAGGATTTGTTCTCTAATCGGACGACCTGCGCTAAAACATCAACAACAAGGCCGGACATGTTCATTAATGCACACACGACCACACGCCTGCATACGATTGGTACCTTGAAGAAACTAGTTGACACGTACATGTTGAGAGCTGTTATTTAACGGAAGTTCCAGCTCACCCTCTCTCTCTCTCTCCCTCTCTCTCTCTCGCCCTCTTTTGTTGTAATGGAAAAGCACAACGGTAAAAAAAACAGACTGGTTTCACAAGTTCCTGCTGTTGCTGACAAATCATTCCATCAAACTCGGTGTGTTTGTGCCTGGACGTCTGACTGAGAGGGCCTTTGTTCCCGGTCTCTCCAAGTCACTCACCCTGTCCTTATGTCGCTTTATGTTTGTCCCTCCTTATTTTTTGACACAGACCAGAGACGTTTGTGCCGTATAGATAAACAGAGGTAGTATCGGGGCGGGATCTTTTGTCGGGCTGAAAGGAGGGAGATTTAGGTTACACTGCAAAGCTGATAAATATGCTGTAACAAAGGCGCACACACACACACATTTGCATCAGATAGACACAATGGAAACGTAAACCCCGTCCTTCACCTTCCTCAGGTGAGCGAGTCCTTTATGCGGTACGACCGTGCATGTGTCTGAGCTTCACACAGCTGAAATTATGATTGATGGTGACAGCTCGACGTGGTGCTGATGCAGAAAAGTCGGCGTCAGCATGACACCGACTGCCACACAAACAGGTGTAAATATTATGCTTAGTTATGGCAAGTTGTAGGGAGTCGCCACCAAAACCAATTTCAGATAATTTCATATATTATCATATAACTGAAACCTCTTTCAAAACCTTCTTTCCTGCACCCAACGTCACGATAACTGAAACCTTCTTTCCTGCACCCAACGTCACTACATTTTTTTTTTTCATTTCAAATGTGAGTTAACGCTTCAGAGGAGATCAAAAAATGTTCACTTTCGATTCCAAATAACAGAAATGTATAAGTGGGAAACCACATCCTGTTTGCATCAGAATGTGTTGAGGTTTGTTGTCATTTTCTGAAAGCTTATGTTGGAGAAGATTTACAACAGACGCAGAAACACTTTCTTCAGATTCTCAGCTTTCGGTTGAAATAGCCAGAAATTAGCAAAGTATTGTTAGGTAAAAGAGGAAATAATGATTAGTAATTTAAAAGAAAAACTGCACGGTTTATAGAGGAGATAAAACACCAAAAATTTGTAAAAATACAATAGATGATATCTATGTAAATATTAGCTTAACTTTAAACATAGCAACAACTGAAAATGTACTTCTATTGGCCAGCTACAAGCTGTCATAAAAAAATAAACAGAATAACAACTTAAGTTAGCTGCAAATAGTTAAGTAGAACTATTGTAAAAAATAGTCCAGAGATAGCCGAGTTATCCAAATCACTATCAGATTAGAGATAACTAAATAGTTAATAGTTAGCCAAATGACGCTAATCTCAGAAGGTATCTCACATGTTCCTAAAATTGGTCACAATGAGCTAAAGTTTTCAACTCATAAAACGAATCCTAGCCCAATAATTTTGTAAAAAGTCATACGTACATCTTCTTAACTACAGATACCTTCTTCGGAACCATGTACACGTCTGATGACCGTGGAATCTTGTTCTCCAAGTCTCTGGAGCGCCACCTGTTTGACGGGCATAGAAAGAGCGATTTCAGAAACATCACATCACTCAGAGGGGTTTACCTGACAAATAAACTAGATGAGGGTAAGTTCGTATATATTCCCACACACATCTGTAAAAGGTGTATTCATTTGTTTTTTTCAGTTTTTAAATTTAGCATTTTTTAAAACTACAATGGCTAATATTCAGCTTTTTTTTCTGAATGACTTCTAGCTGTCTTTTCTTACAATGTTGACAGATCTGTTATTTGTTACATCCATTTGTTAAAGTCTTGGAATTATTATCAGTTTTTAAGCTTTCCTTTTGTACAATTTGAGCTACATGCTAGATAAACCTAGGGTGTTTTTTCATTTTTTATTTTGAGTTCTCTAATGTTCTCTAATGTTCTCTGCTTTGTTCTCCTCTCAGATGGTCGAATACGATCTGTCATTTCTTTTAACAGAGGAGGGAAGTGGCGGCAGCTTAAAAAACCTGAGAACGTGGACTGCAGCGAACAAACAAAACGTGTAAGTTGGCGCACATTTATCCATATCGCACTTTTTCCAGGGCATTTTTTTTCTATAAGGAAAGGAAAAGGAAAAGGAAAAAAAAAAGAAAAGGAATATATAAAAACATTTTTGCATTTGTGCGTCTTTGTCCTCAGTGCAACCTCCATGTTCATGGAGAACACAGTCGGAACAACAGGATAGTTCCCATGTTGGCTCTGTCAGACCCCACTGCTGTTGGTCTGGTCATTGCTCACGGTACGTTACTTGACAAAACCATTCTTTCCTGTCCTACAGACTATGGGGGGTCATGAATAGAACGACTGCAGTGACATCTAGTGGTGAATAGTGGCCTAAAACTAAAAGTGAAATAGTAGTAACTGAAATAATGCGTGTTAGTGCTTTAAATTTAATTGATAAGAATACTAGTAATAATAATAATAAATATTTTTTGTAGCATTAACTGATTAGACGTTAGTCGTCTAACTGCCTCGTTACTCATTAACTGAGTGAGGACCATACTCTTCCTCCTCCTTTACAGGCACAGTCGGTGACTCATTGTCGTCATCGCAGCATCCAGATGTGTTCGTTTCCTCAGACGGAGGTTACAACTGGAGGGCCACACTGAGGGGCCCTCACCACTACAGTATATTAAACTCTGGTGGCCTCATTGTGGCAGTGGAGGCGCAGCGTGAAGGACAAGTCAAGACCATCAAGTTCTCCACAGATGAAGGCCAATGCTGGAAACTGTATAATTTCACAGAGCAGCCGTTTTTCTTCGCTGGCCTGGCGTCTGAGCCGGGCACCAAGGCCATGAACGTCAGTGTGTGGGGTTTCCGGCCAGAGGAAGACGGGCAGCCCATGTGGGTAGCTGTTACCATCGACTTCCAGAGCCTCATCACTCGAGAGTGTGAGTTGCAGTGATTTACTCTGCAACGTTTCTATACGGAGCATGCTGCCACCCAGTGGTGGAAGTATAAATTTCACCACCACTTTTGAGCTTGTACCGACTTAAATAGTACACATATACATACTAATATATTTGTTATAACTGCAGTAAGCATAAAAGGTTACTTTGAGTTGGATAGATTTCCGTAAAGCATTTTTACACTTTCTATGTGTCATTTATCTTATTAAAACGGGGAATTAGGAAAATAGCATTTTTACACTTTCTATGTGTCTTATTAAAACGGGGAATTAGGAAAATGATTAGAAATGAAAGTCAGCAAAAACATATCGAACATTTTTAAAGTTACCTGGAAAACATGCAAATCATAAAGCTAAATATCAATTTACAATAGCAATACATACCAACCAACAATAACATTAGCTCAAATGTGGCTAAACATGTAGCACAGAAAGATGTCTCACTGTTTTATATAAAATAGCACAACATTATGGATTAAAAGGGTGAAACAAAATGCATAGACTAAACTAAACTGAATTTAGCTTTTAAAGAGCTTGAAGTTGGACAGAATAGCAAACTATTAGCTCAGAAGCTAACAGTAGTGCTCAGACAGATAAAACTTGTGACACATTTGCTTTAAAAAAAGGATAAAAAATGTTTTATATATATATATATATATATATTCTTTTTTTACCGTTTTTTATGAAGAAGTTGGAAGCTTGTGTTCTGACTGGTTTGCCATCTGGTTCATCAGGTGGTGACGAGGACTATGAGGAGTGGCTGGCCCATTCTACAGAGCAGGGAGACCCTGAGAGAAACGGCTGTGTCCTGGGTGTAAAGGAAACCTACAGGAGGCTAAAGAAACAATCTGTGTGCAGAAATGGGAAAAGTTTTGTGGTAACCAAGAAGCAAACCTCTTGCCTGTGTGTCAGAGATGATTACTTATGGTAAGTTCAATAAAAATCCCCCTATTATGGCCTAGCCTTTGGCTAACATTTGTTATTTAGCTTGTTTACGCCTGGTATTATCAACTATAGACATATTTTCCCTAATTTAGGAAAGATTTTAGCAAATGTTTAAATGATGTTTTGAGCCATTTGGTTCCAACTTTTGGTAATTTTTGTCTAATTTTTATCAACTTTCTTTTATTCGAACTTTTCCAACTAGCTTTGACAAATTATCTTTATGGACCGACTTCATCTTTTAACCACCATTTAAATATATTAGGATATTTAAGTTACATTTGTCCAAACGTCAGTAATCTTTTGGCCAGTTTTTAATCCTTATTGGAATGTTTTACAAAATATTACTGAATTTTCTTTTAGCGTTCTAGCTATTCCAGGCTAGTCACTGTTCTTACCAGCTCATTTATTTTGTTTTCTGCTTTTTCATCAAATATTTAACTATTTAACTAAATTACATTACTTTATGGCTCTTTGGGGGTATTTATGGGCAATATCTGGACATTTTTTGTGACACTTCACAGTGACTATGGCTACTATCGTCACCCGAACACTTCAGAGTGTATCAGGCAACCCGATGCTGCAAATAAAACGTTGGAGATCTGCTTGGAAGGTCAAGAGGATGAGCTACTGACTGCAGGGTAACAAACATCACACTGTTTAGTAAAGAGGTTTTTACTTAAGGACTATAAAAATCCCTCACAAGCTAACGCACCGTATCCATAGGTACCGTAAAGTGCCGAGTGATAAGTGTGAAGGCGGTTTCATGCCGCACATGGCAGTGCAGACAGTCATCAGGCCCTGTGGTGTCAAACCTACACCTAACTCTTCTGGTTGGTCCACACCCCCTGATATAGCCTTTGATACACCAGTAAGTATATATATATTTTAACCTCATCTGTTATAATTCATGTTCAAATTCTAAGTCACAGCTGTTGCCTATGTGTGCAGCGAGAGAGGTTGGTGCTGATGCTGGTGTGTGCAGGAGCAGGTGTCATTGTCCTGTTGGCGATTGTTTCTGCTTTTCTTGCTGTCAAACGTGTGGTTTATAAAGACAGGTAGGATAAACACACACACACACTCGCCCTCACACACACACACCAACTCCTTGTGTCTTTGTAGACATGAAGTACGTGTGCGTGCAATCATTATGTATACAGACACCTACATACCTTTCTTAATATGTTGTTTATATTCACGCACTCCAGTGTGTGTTTCATTGTGGCAATGCTCGTGCTGTTATATTTTATTTTTGGGGGGGTTTCTGGCTCCCTCTACAGGACACCAGTGTATCGCTTGTCCAAATTGCAGATACAGGAGGAAAATAACTGCGTTACTGACCTTGAAAGCGGCACTAGCAGCAATGGCAACTGTCAGCATGACTCAGACGATGTAAGCTTCATATTTCAGATTGGTGCTTTTTTTTTTTAAGGTCTATTTCGTTTCACTGTTTTGCATATTTCTACACTCAAAACTTAATCCTTGAATTATTTTTGCCATTACTTTGTTTATATGATGACAGGACCTTATTGGATGACAAATGGAATGTTCTGATGGTATAAATGGACCTGGTGTGCTGAGAAGAGACTGCCTTTTATCAAATGAATATGTATAATTTGGACTGGGTTGTTCTGTGTGCCACCTTCTGGGGATTCTATGTCAAAATCTATAAAAAAAAAAAAAAGTGAAGCACATTAATTTATTGAGCTTTTTCATTTCATTCAGTTTCTATGTGTAGTTGTTAATTTGTACAGTATTGTGTTTTGTATTTCACTAATTTTACACCGCATTTTTATGTTTAAATGCTGCATGTCAAAACACAAATGATGATTGTTACAATTTGCATTTGTGAGCAATAAATTGTTTCATATTTTAAGCGTAATATGTTTTTTTTTTTGGTACATTGAGGTTAATTGATACTTTGGAGCAGAGTTCGTATTTTTAGGCTTTGTAGAATTTGTAGTCCTTTATGTTTGCAAGTCATGAAAAATGTATTCAAAATAATGGGATTAGGTGTATGTTTAAGTGTGATTTGTATGGTTAAGTACAAAGCTAAAGAGGTAATCTATGACCCCACTGGGATGGGGTTGCTTTTTTTTAGCTTTTGTAAACTGTGTATGTTGTTACACTCACTAAAGATCTGGAAACAAAGCAAGTCCCCAGTGAATTGCCCTGTAGGACATACAGCAGTCTTTCTTAAGATCAATTCAGTCAATAACATTGTCGTAGGTAAACACAAGCGCTATAGTAAACCAACCAACAGTTACAAGGTAGTATGAAAACTAAAATGTTGAAGCCAACAAAAACGTTTCACACAAAAATACAAAGAAATAAAATATTTTTAGACGAAAAAAACCCCTAAAAAGATTAAAAAATAACCAAATGCTGATTAAATGTAGCATAAATTAAGACCTGTCACAGTCTGTTCCTTGCGCCTATAAGATATTAAATAAAGAATATTAAATACAGTGTTTATTAATATGAAACAACAAAAAACGCAAAACGCATAATACCGCTATGATCTGTGTTATTATTATTATTTTATTATTATTACCATCATTACCGTCGTTATTTTTGCACAGGCATATATGTGGCCACACTTCATCCAACAGCAGCACCGCTGTCATTTCACACCAACTGCAATAACAGTGTGAGTAAGCCAGACTCTCCCTACCTGTGGTTCCCGTCACAAATAAACAGGTACGCATACACTAGACATTCATCCAGCGGTGAGTTTTCTAAAGTCTATTTCTCCCTTTTAAATGTGAGTCAGCGTCACATAGTCATAACTCTGTAGGAAGTCTCTTTTTTTATCGGGCAGCGCAGACGAGGAAGTTCCACAGCGAGCGACTCAACTTAGCATTTTTAAACGTAGCTTCAGTGCTAACCACCAGTCACTAAAAACCTCTTATCAGAAACGGAACTCAGTTTGGGGGGAGGAATGGAACAAACAACATCTGTTAGAAGAAATAAAGTGTGCGTGTCTTTTGTCTACTGTTAGCAGTTGTCGTCAAGGAAAGTTAACGTCGCCCTGCTGCCGTTACTGCCGGACCCCTGTCTTCTTTTCAGTGACTAGCATACGCCGACAAAATATACCAAAAAAAACGCATGTCACGTAGACACAGCGGGGGGCAATGTGGCTGAGTCTCACTAGAAAGAAATGAAATAAGCAAAATGTCAGAAGAATAATATGGCCAATAAGGTACAAGGGTCAGTGATGACAAAAGGACAGAAAGACAAACAAAGGCGAGGGTGAAGAATAAACTACTTATTGTCCCATATATAATTAATACTTTTGCCAAAATGCTTTGTTTTGGTGATTCTTGTTTTGGTCAGCCGTTTTTGGGCTAATCTCATCTCTCCGTTACCCATCACATCAGTTTGATCAAACAGTCATAAGATATATTGTGGCAATAGCACAATTATCTTTTCATGTTTGTTCTATTTGTTCTTGCAGGTTATCAGTAGTAGGACAGGGAGTTTGGACACACTAAGATGGTCAGGACTGGCAGTAAGTTTATCTACGACTTACATTCTACATTCCATAAAATCTACATTTGTCTAATTTGTCTATTCTTGCACTGTTTTTATTCCAGGTATTTTGAAGTTTGCAGCGTTGTTCTCTGCATTCCTTCTGGCTGTATTTTTGACATTTCAGCTGCTAGAAATTAACATGGATTTAAAGCTGAGTAGCATGATGTGTGAGTGACACTTTTCACCTTTTTGGACACGCATAGCATAGAAATTGAATATATATTTATAAATGAATTTATAATTTCTCAACCTCATTAGTTTGCCTGTTAGTTGAACATCATATGCAACGTGATATAATTGTTTTAATAATCCACCAGGAAATAAATATATATATATATATGTATATATGTATATATATGTGTATATATATATGTATATACATGTCTATGTATATATATATGTATGTATATATATGTGTATATATATATACAGCAGTGAACTATGGTACCCAAACTTAGGCCGCAAAAAACTTTCACTTTTGCACCCGTTGGTCATGGGACTTCATAGGTTATCAGCTGAAGACACCAGAGACGGGTTGTAGCACACGTAAAACCACATTCCCACTAGTGGCCACAATCAGAATCACATGTGGGTCACCGTTAGGATGACGTGATATTATACCATGCGAAGCATAACACACAAAACGGTGTTGTCCCGTTGGTCTACAAATGTGTGTGTGCCTGTTATAGCTATTTGTGTATACACTTTGACCTTTTGAAGATATTTTGCAGGTCTTTATATACATATATATATTTATTTTTCTTTTGTGTGCGAATTTCTCCCCTACAGCAAAATCTCTGCCGGGGAACTCTCTTAGTAAGTAATGTCTATTATTTCCCCTTCCCCCATGTCTTAAAAGTTAGCAGCTGTCTCTCTTGCTATTTACCATCTTTGTTCCTCTTTTTTATTGTAATCTTGAAGCCAGATCACACATGTGCCACACCCTATTTATCTACACCAAACTGTGGAGCATAGCACTTGACATTTAGAAGATGAATAAATTCAGTTTAGAGCCACATGATTTTTACGACACTTACGTCTCAAGTTTGTGCTCCTTTCACTGAGCAGGCCTTTGTGTCGGTATGGTGTGAAGGTGGGTTTGCTCATGTTGTGACTGGAGTTCTTTTCATGAATCCACAGCAGAGAAGCCACTCAGGAACAAGTGTGGCCTGTCCAAGTCGTGTCCTGCTGCACACTTTGCCTTTAAAGTTGCGAGTGGAGCTGCCAGTGTGGTGGGGCCCAGAATGTGCCTGGAGGACAAAGTGTAAGTAGTGAGAGAATGACAAGTGTTTCAAACTCTACCACACAGGCAGTGTAATGAGCTGAAAAACATGTACAAAAAACCCAAAACATATGTATATATAAATATATAAGTATATATACACATTAGATGTGTGTATATGTATCTATTATATATGTATCTACTGTATGTATGTGTATATATAATCATATATGCCGTATTTTCCGGACTTTAAGTCGCACTTTGATATATAATCATATATACCGTATTTTCCGGACTTTAAGTCTCACTTTTTCATATCCTTTGGCTGGGTTTGCAATTTACACTCAGGTGCGACTTATATATTACAATATATAATTTCAGGTTTATGTTCACACTGACAGCCACTAAAGGGCACTGGTGTGATATTCCAGAGCAACTGATAGTCGGGAAAATACAGTAACTCAACAACATTGTCAAATGTATGTCTTATTGTCACAGATTAATGAGCAGTGTGAAGAACAACGTAGGGAGGGGCATCAACATCGCTCTTGTCAACGGTAACACACGTTAAAATAACACAACCTTGTGTAATATGACTGTAGATAAGAGTATTGTCATGGTGAGTCGCTGCTGACTTTTCACTGACATAAATAGACAAAGTTGGTTCATCTTTATTATTTCCTCTTTTTTGTCCTCCGTCATCATGTGATTTATTTTTAATCTTCAATAAAGGCAAAAATGGGCAAGTGGTGAGGACATCAAGTTTCGATATGTGGGCTGGAGGTAGGTAGATTAGTTTTCAATGTTTAAAACTGTTTATTAAACCCTTCAGTGCAGTGGTGGTAACTGTGTAACTTTCCCATAGACGTGGCACCTCTTATCAAATTCCTGCAGGAAATTGAGGAAGGTACAGTGGTGCTGATGGCCTCATTTGATGATCCAGCAACAAAGTGAGAATTGCAGAGGATTTGACTTGGGTTGTTCTGCATTTTATCAGTGTTTCCGGGTTAAATTGGAAGGTTTCCTTTTGTCCTGTAGGCTCAACGATGAAGCCAGGAAACTCATTTCTGATCTGGGTAGCTCGTATGTCAGTAAGTTGGGCTTCAGGGACAACTGGGTCTTTGTAGGAGGAAAAGGCATCAAAACCAAGAGTCCGTTTGAACAGGTGAGGAGTACCACCAGAGATAGAACAAAACTTTGTGTCCGGAAGTGAGAATCTATTCAATCATCAGACACACTCATGTTTAATAATGCTCCTCAGCTTTTTCCTCTTTACCTCCTCAGCATATAAAGAATGCCGCTGACACAAACAAATTCGACGGATGGCCTGAGGTGCTGGAGATGGAAGGCTGCATACCCCAAAGATCAGACTGAAGAACCCAAACTATCTCCTGCACCACCTCCGTCACATTATCCTCCTGACATTCCTGCCCTTTTCTTTTGACTACTTCTACAGAGCAGACATGAACTCTTGAAACGCACTGGGAGGAAACAGTCCAGACATTCTCCTGAGTTTGCATCCGGCCTGTGAGGGACGCAGCTGGAGATTTAGCTGGCTAGCTGACTGAAGGAGTTCTGAAGAACCTGCCAAATGGCTTTGTGCATCCTCGCATGCAAGCAATCTCTAAAGAATGTCCAGAACTTCTGTGCATGTCTGAAACAAGCATAGCACAATTTTTTTTTTTTTTGAAACCTCTTGCACTCGATTCTCTAGTTGGATACTTTTACACAGAGGAGGTGCTTATAATTGCAGCTAGAATGTAGAGTGGGATGTCTAGAAGGGATTTAAATTATTATCAAAGTAACTATTCAATATACAGTAGTGTGCAAACCTCCACTATATCATTCATAGTCCTGGGCCAGATTATCTGTCATTGTTTTTTGTTTTGTTGGGGGGGCATATTTTTTCTGATATTATAACCAAATGCACCAAATTCACTGTGAAATTTTGTAAATATGTTTAGGTTGAGGATCCCAGTTTCATAGATCCTCATTAATATGTATTGTAATAATAACTATGATAAAATAATTTCTTAAAATAAATGATTTTGTTAGTAACAAACAAATATGTGTGTTAAGCTTTTGCACCGGTGTGTTTTTTTGTCTTGTTGCAAATTCTAAAATAACTTTCTCATTTATATATTATCTGCATCCATTTTGCCGGCAGGTTCAACGCAGGAAACAGCAAATCTTTAGCGTGAACAGATACCCTAATCCTACATCTTTTTAAGTGGTTAATCCCACACACACCTAAAGGTAAAATCTAAAAACGTATACATTCTTATATTTTGCATCTGACATGTATGTCAATTATTTTTATCATATCTTACATTTTACACTATTTTTTGATACTATTTCACTGTTGGCTCAAGGGCAACGATTGTTTAACCTGCAACAAAAATGTTGTTATATGCAAATACAGTAAAAAAGAAACCTTAAATTCTTTACAAAAATGCCTGGGACCCTGCGGCACCATTTGTGTTTTTACCATATTTAGTAAAAAATTTAATTTTAATCATGTGTCCGTTTTTTCCTATTAGTCAGTGAATGCATCGTGTAGATCAAAGTTGTCGAAAACGTCTTAAACACGTTCAACATCTTCAGAGATTGGCAGCACATAACGTAATGTGTTGTAAGTTTCTTCCATTTTTGTACGAACACCAGCTATAACAACCATAATAATTCTAAGTACACACTAAGATAATACAAATGGGAAAATCTCCTTTTTGGAGCCCGAAACTGACGGACTGAATAATTTCACCATTTGCACTAATACATTTAGTTTAGAGGAAGTTTACTTTGGTGTATTAAATTGAACTTTGGAAAAGATACATACCTTGATGAGAGGAACGTCCATGAATAATTTCTCAGACCCTGTCTTATATATGTCGTTTACAGGCGATTTATTTATTTTTACAGTTTATGTTAAACGGAGATGGGTTAACTCCAAACAAACAGTTTCGTCACTCACCAGCTCTACATTGTCAATTAACGAGAGCTTCCGCCGCTTGTACAATTCGTCCAATCATCACAAGTCAATCTTTCCGCCCGCCCAAATCGTGGAAGAGGAAGTGGAAGTGACGTTTTTTGTTATTAGCCTCCATCTGGCTCCACATTGGGGGGAAAATACCTTAGGATCGTAAAGAAAACAATTTAAACCGAACTTCAACAGTGTTTGATGTTGAAAGTTTAACGCTACATTTTAAAAATATTTTAAAAGTCTATACGCTAAAAACCCAATCTAAAATTAGATATACATATATAAATCCTCATATTGAGCAGTAAGAACATAGCTCCAGTTGACCGACAGAGAGCGCCATTGTCTTATAATTACTAAGAAGGGGTATACTCTGTTGAAAGTGTTTTTACTATTATTATTTTTTTTTGGTACTTCTGTTGTATCTGTCTGTCTACCATGTTTATGTCCTTATAAATCAGATCCTCTTCATTAGAACCGGGTCTCAGGGTCCGACAAGCCTTGTTGGTCACAATGCCAGGGTTTATTTTAAGAGATAACAATGAAAACACGGACAGAAACTCGATGTGACTCTGTGAGAGGTCTGTTTGTTCACTGTGGCCTTCAGATTTTCCCTAAGCTTTTCTCATTTCCTGTAAGAAAAGACACAACACCACGGTGCTGCCTCCACACTGTTCTTTGGTTTGTTTATGTCAGGCAGGGCATGTGTTTGTTCAGTTGATGCCTTTAAAAGTATAGTGCCCATTGGTTAGCTCAGGCGTGGGCAAACATTTTGACTCGCGGGCCGAATCGTCCTAAAATTGAACGGGGGGGGGGGTTCAGGAGCAGATAGATGGAGCGTTCATGTGAAATAAAAAATGACATGTAAAAGTCATGCATAAAGGCTAAAATGCTTTTATCATTTTCTACACCATCTATTGGGGAAAAGTGGGTATTGCAGGGAAAAGGCAGAAGTATAATGATAATATAAACAAATTGGTTAGTTTTTTAAACTTTGGTGGCCGGATTAAAAAGTTGAACGGCCTTAGTTTGCCCATGCCTGGGTTAGCTGATGCTGAACAGAAGGCAAATATAATTGAGCTGAACATTTTGACAACAAATCTGTAAAAGTGAACTAAGAATTTTATGAAGATAAAACATCCAGTTAGTGCAGAGGAAGTTTAAAGATTCTTTTTTTTTTTTTTAAAGCTTCCACAGTTTGCTACAAGTACGCCTAAAGTCATGAAAAAATGGGGACTTAGAAGTCTGAGACTGGAATACCCTGGAAGGAAACTAAAACTGAAAACAAGGATTTCTTTCTGATTGGTTCCCAAAATAAATCTCTCTCTCAGACAAAGCTGGTCGCTCAGCTTTGCCATTCCCAGTTGCCTGGGCTTGGCCTTTGACCTCCACCCTTTAACCTTACTCTGACCAGCTCAGTGCCATGCTTCTATTTTGTTCCAAAACAAACGTCCGAAGAATGTTTTCTCCTCCACTTTACCTTAATTGTCTCACAGGAAAACAACTTTTGTTTGCGTTCTTTTTTTTTTTTGTCTTTCGTTATATGTTGGTTCCAGCCTTTACCAGAGCAACACATCCCTAACAACCCGGCTTCAGACCTGCACAGTGTACGCTGACATTTCTTACGCTAACATAAAATGAACTTCTTTCCTGTTTTTTCCCGTTTGTTTTTCATCCAGACTATGACATAGTCTGCAGCTGGTTCAGAGTACTTCACTTATGGCTTTGGTCATATACTGTGTGAAGTCTGTTACCACTCCCTTTATCTTTGTCTTATCTGATACTGGACCCCAAACGGTGGCTCCACCCTCTTGTTTACAACAGCTCAAGTCTTCTTTTTTTTTTCTGGTCCACAACTGTTTCTTTCAGTTCTGTACACTGGTCCCCCCCCCCCCTGGTTTAGCCTCTGACCTCAGTGCCCTAGCTTTCTGCTCCACCTCCAGTCTCAAAACAGCATTTGCGACACACACACACACACACACACACACACACACACAGCTGTGTTTACACTCCTTTCTTCTGTGGGAAATTCTTGCTGACTTCAGCACAGAGAGACAAAACACCGCGCTGGCCTCACAGACTGAATCCATTACTGATCACTTCATTCACACGATCAATACTTGCAGAGATGCTGCACACAAAACTCTAAATTAGATATCTTCAACAAGGGGGGGCCCTAGAGGTTCTGGCCAGGTACTGCATGCTGGAGGATGCATTAAAAAAAAATTGATCCAACTCATTATGTTTTTTTCCCAGTACAACTTAGCTATCAAGGTGCATTATTGCCACCTACTGGGCTGGAGTGTGTCCTTCAGTGGGATGAGTAAGCCTTAGTAAATAATAATGGTAGTGAATTTGTATTTGCAGGGTTCTGTCCATCATTTGGCTAAAAATGTTTTACTCTAATGCACACAAACGACCACAAAGACTGAGATGTTTTCCCTCTGCTGATCTAACAAAACAAAACCAATGAGTGAAAAACCTGAACCGACGCCGACCTTTTCACCCTCAGTAATGGCTCGTACTCAGTTACACTCCCGTTCCCTCAAGCCGTGACAGTGAAACAAAGGTTCTCATTCAGCAGTGTCACAGTGTCTGACTTTTTCTTAAGCAGAAGCTTGTGATCAGGCTATTACGGTAGATCTAATGATCTCCACGGTACAAACGTTTACAACCGACTGTGGGAGCAATCGCTTTGTTGACGCGACGGCTGAGTTAGGCCGCAATGGAGAAGACCCTTCTACGGCCTAGTATTTTTTAATATTTATGATTGTTATTTTTCATTTTCACAATGCCTTCTATCCGTTAAGTTAAAACGTTTCTGCTAACCATGGTTAAAAGGGAGAAGGGCCGATGTTTTAGTCAGTGACAATAATCTTTGATGATGTCATGGACTTTACAAAGATGCTAGTATTAACACACCTAGCAAGAGCAGCGAAATGCCAATTGTATTAACACACCTAGCACCTAGCAAGAGCAGCGAAATGCCAATCAAATGCCAATCAAATTCAAGTTTTAATATCTTGTTCCATGTCCATTAACATTCAATGCTGTAATTGTCTGGACTGGAATACTTTAATGTCCAGTTTTAGGTAATGTGTCGTGGGTTTGATTCCATGCTAATTCCATGTAGTGTATATGAAATATAAAATATGTGGTGTTATGTTAGTGCAAAAATGCTATACACCAAAGAGCAGAGCACGGTGGTTTCTATAACGCTAGTGTGTTACACTGATCGGACTACGGGAAATACAGTATATTTACCAGTATAAACGGTGAGTTCTCCATGTGTTCTGGAGCTTTAAACGTGCCAGCCTGTAATAGAGACATTCTTCTTCTTGGCTCCAAACACAGCCAAAGTTCACTGTGATGATATGGACTCTTTGAAGTGACATTCAAGCAGCTTAAAGTGAAGTAGTTAATTTTTTATTTTTTTTATTACCACATGCCGTAATTTTTTGTGTGGCGATGAAATAAAAAGGGCCGAGCGATATCGCAAATGCACGAGGTGGAATTTACGAGGTGGATTGTTGTTTATGGGAAAAGTCAGCGCTGCTGTACCAGAGAATTATTTCTCAGTACCACTCAGTTATGGCTCTATGAGGAAGTATGTAATCAGTCTGCGGCTGCGTACACCATACAGATATATTTAAACAGTGTAATAAGTCAGAGGCAGCGACAGGATTGGAGCCGTAACCATAAGAACGACGCCCAGTTTTTACAAAGTCGATCTCTCGTGTTTTTTTGTTTTTGTTTTTTTAGGAACCTCTTATACAAAGGACAGGCTCAGCCACTTAACGTAAACGATGTTGATACAAGTCGTAAACCTGAAAGTCATGACCCGTTAGGGTGATAAAGACTCCCAACCTCAGATGTGATTTGACCAACGTTGGCAGATGTTCAATGTTGTCTAGGACACTCTCTCTCAACCAAAGGTACACGGACCCTAAGTGGTACGTAAGGGCAAGATTTTCACCTAAAGAAAACAATCATGGAGTGACATTTTAGTTTCCTCAGTTAATTTAACCAAACAATTACCTATTTTCTTAGAAAACTAATGGAGATGTGCTCCTATGAATTAGGCTAGCC